GAAATAGAAAAAAAAAAAAAAGACAGGACGCATGAATCATACTAGGTAAATCAGGGAACGATTCCTTATTACTCTTTAACAAACATCATTCAACCCGAGCAACTTGAGTAATCTCCGGATTCAATCCTCGCCCAACTCTCAAAATTTCCTTTTTTTTTCTTTTCTCGAGATTATAGATTCATTTTACCGACTTTCCTTACATACATAATCAAATTTTTTGAGAAAAATGTCAATACAGAGTTTCGAATAAGTAGACATGGAAAGTTAATATATGACCTAAACAAATTCGTTTTTACAATGCATGAGTCATTATTTTGCAAAAAAATTCAAAATTTTTTTTATCTTATTTAATTTTGAATTGTTAAATTATTCACAAATAGAATCAAATGATAAATAAATATAAACATCCGAATATTTAATTTATTGATTAGTATATTATCTCTTACATTAAAAATAAGATTTGAATCTCTTTTTTTAATTATAAATAAATAAATATAAATTAAAATTATTAAATAATTAATTATGAACCACTTTAATCATTTTATTTAAGAGCAAGATCGAATATGCCTGAAATCCATAGGACAAAAGTGTTTCGGCCCTTTGGTTTTAGCCGTACGTGGGAAAGGGAAAGTAAATGGGCATATAGTCCAGTAGGATTGCTTCGGCCCAAAGTTTCTTTTTTCTAACTTTTCTACTGTTAATGTTTTTATTGTACAAAATTGAAATTTTATAATATTAATCAGTAAATTATATACAAATTGGAAATATTTGTAATTTGAATTTTATATTTATTTCCAAATTGGATAAATTTTATATTTTTTTAACATTCGTACTTGTATATATTACAAATTGTAGATAAATTAATTAATATTGATATAGGTGAGGTCTAAAAGAAGCATCTAAAGCTAGAGGATAATGCATAGTAAATCCAATTATAGCTATACGTACTCATTAATTAAAACAATCAGTTGATATAAGAGTATAACCCAAAACGAAATAACAAAGTGCTGTATTTGTGGACAAAAACCAAATCATTTAGATAAAAACAAATTAAGCTAAAAGATCCCTGTGTCAATATGGATAGAAACAAGCAAAGTTGGAAAGGCTTATTTTTATACAAATAATTATGTAACAATAATGAAAAGCTTATAATGTCTTGACAAAATGCTTAATTAAAAAACATATTAACAAAAAATTTGAATTCAATTCCAATACATTTATAATACAAGTATAGGACTAGACGTATTGTTACATAAATAAATATTTTATTAAGTTATCCTATCTAAGTTTGAATTGAGGATAATACTTTCTTGATCTAAGCATATTTGATTTTATCTGATTTTTTTTAAAAATTATTCCTTTTGAATATAATTAGGTTAGAATATCATATGCAGAGAAAATATTAAGTAGGTGGACTGATTCCTCGAATAATTTTCGTATAAATATTAATTTACAGCTTCCGTTTTAATAAAATATTACTACAACTTCTCGAAAAAAACCCTAAACAACGAGACGAATCCGCCCGCCGCCGACAAATACCCTAATTTGTCCCCTTGAAAAAGCATGAATCATGAACCATGTTGATTAGTTCTAATCAAATATTCCAATTTGTCCCCACGAGAAGAAAAAACTTAAAACCAGTAAACAACCTTAGCACTGATTGATTCCAAATTTTCTAGAACTATTTCCAAATCATGTTGTCTCCTTGGGCAGCCGTAAGCAAAAGATCAAACTAAGAAATTTGCAAATTGCTAAACAAATTTGACATTTAGTCACTCCACTTTTGACCAAGCCCATATGACCACACTATTAAATAATAATAATAATAATAAATTAATGATAAAAACGAACGATAATAAATAATCAAATTTTGACGGCAAAAATATACTATTCTCGACGAAATTTTCGACAAAATTAATTCCGTTAAGAAACCTAAGTAAGTTTTCCCACAGCAAGCGTATTTTTAAAGAGTTCAATTAAAGAAGAATTGAACTTTACCGACAAAGCTGAGGTTGAAGTCACAGCTAATTTCAGCTTCGGGTTAGGACAAATCTATAAGCTGTTTTAACTTTTGTCTATTATAAAAGTTGGGATGGAGCATGCGGTGGAAGGCTAAAGAGACTTGATGCTTTGGTGGTGGCAGGCACGCCTCTCTTTTTCTATTCCAAAGCAAGTGGGTAGTGGTAGCCATCGTAATGGAGTTGATTGAGGGGTTAGGCCATCTGCCTCTTTTTCACATTTATTTTCTTTTTGGGTTTTTCGGGGTGCAGACGTTTCACATTTTATTTATTTCTTTTGTCACAACCGGCACGACGAAGACATAAGTCTTTT